GTGCTTAGGGGAATGGTCATGGGGTAAATTAAATAAAGTTCACTCCCCACCTGAGAGGCAAATGTTAGATTGCTCCTAATGATGTCAGAATTCAGAGTAGAAAATGCTGGTTTGGAAATATTATAGAGCCATAAGTTATTGCTTGCCAAGTGTTTATGCAAATTCCACATTAACTCGACTGAACACTAAAGAGAAAGGCACGGAAGGGCCTCTCATATTAGGAAACCATGCAGTTCTAAAGCTTTTGTGCTGCCTGACTTGCCAGAAGATGCTGGGATTTTCCGCATCTAGATTGTCAAACAAGACAACCCTTTCTCATGGTAATGAGTCTTAAAATGAAGTCAAGACCTACTCACCTTTTGCACCTTCTTCCCAGCCTTTTGGACTGTGGCCACATGGCCAATGTGTCACTTTTTGTCGCCACTGTGTGCTCCTTAGGGGGAGGGGGTGTTAAGGAAGTCCCTTTAATCCCAAATAGAAATCCTCAGAGCAAATTCAGTAGAAAGAGACCATTTTGATTTCCTGGGAATTAGCAGTACATTGTTAAGTGTCCCAGGCAAAGGGTGCCCAGAAGACAGGAGTGACATGCCTGCAATAGGATTCTGCAGGGACCCAGGGATGGAAGATTCTTGGCCCAGCCATTCTCAGAAGTGCCTAATATGTGCTGCTGGTGATCTCAGAAGAGCCTACTATTTTAAACCAGGGAGATGGGGGCTGCCCCATGCCACTGCATCTCTAGCATGTGTGCATGCTGGCATGGTATGGGATTATAATTGCAACCCTGGGCACCACCTGGTCCTTGTACTTCCTCTTCTCCCAGGACAGGACACACCAAGTCCCCAAGCTTTACTGACTAGTGTCACAAGCTGCCTCTAGCCATGCTCACTAGGAGCACAGCCCCTCAGCCCACATCACCTGTGGACCACTTGGCTTGTGGTGCTGCCAGCCCCACAAAACCCCTCAGCAGCTTCTCCCTCCTGTTGTTTTCAGCAACAAATCTTTGCCATAGGCATGACATCTCGGTCCTGCCTGACTTTGTTACAGTTCAAAAGCCAGGAGGAGACAGGCAGAAGAGACTTGGTGAACAATTTGTTTATAAGCACATGAAACAAAACATTACTATCTTTCAAAAATTTGACTTTAAGTAGTTATACACAGGAGTTACCCTTCACCACAGCAGTTTATGAATACAGCGATTCTTGATTACTGTCACCCCTCCAAACCCCCTCCCTCACTTTTCTTAATTTTGTACAATATGTATAAAATTTTGCCATTTAGTAAGGCAATTTATGTATACAGTACATCCTGATCTGTATCATCCTTTCAATGTCTTCACCCCCCATGCATCAAAAAATGTGGTACGTATATATGTGTGTGTGTGTGTGTGTGTATGTGTGTGTGTGTAATGGAATTCTACTTATCCATCAGAAAGAATGATTCATAAGGAAGTGGACAGAATTGGAAAAAATTTACATTAAGTAATCCAGACCCAGAGAAACACAGGATGCATGGTTTCCCTCATTTGTGGGAGCTAGAATGTGCCTATAAATCTAGAAGTAAAGACACTGTGTGGTATGCGAGAGGTTATAAATGAATTTACTGAAGTGTACTAGACTCTATGGAGAACACTACTATCTTTTAATGAACTAAAGGACTTACTTGTCCATAGTAAAGAATCTCATGGTTTCAGAATATAGGTAGGTCAGTCTCGAGGTGTGGGGGGATTCTCACCTGAGCTTTGTTCCTGCTTCTCCCAGGGTATGCGGACATAGCCTTGAGTGCAGAGTTAGGTCTGGAGTTGGCAATACTAATGAACATGTGATGCCCTTCTTCGGCTAGTTGGCTCCCTCATGGACATATAGGCAGAGGGGCTCTCCAGTCTTCATTGGTTCGCAATGAGGATAGCAGTAGGACAGGAGGGTGCTCTGTCCACCGCCTGCAAATCTGGGCCACAGGCTGAGCCCTGAGCCAGGCTGAGCTTCTCTGAGTCCCCAAAGACAAATGTGATGGTGAGCTGGGCAAGGCCTTCATTCACACTCCACACACACTCCTTGGTACCAGTGCTAAGGATCAGTGTTGGGGCAGCTTTGCCAGAGATGGTGGTATTCCCTTGGTGATTGCCCTCAGCACTGGTCAGGTGGAGGTGTTCATTTCTAGACAGGTGTGCTGCTGTGGGCAAGAAATGCCCCTTGAGGAATTCAGTGACATCAGGAATGGAGGGTGATTTTGCAAGGATGGGGTTTGTGGCAGTCGGAAGGATGAAGGAACAAGAGCTTTGAACCCGAGAGCAATAGAACTTTTATTCTTTATGGCAGGTGGCCCCAGATGGGGACCTGATGCACCAGCTGTGAGGAGGTTCACAGTGGCTGTGGTATATAAAGAGGGCAGGAGCCTGGGGCTAGGATCCAGGATCCTTGGCTAGCCTTCAGAAGCCTTTTTTTTCACATTGCAAGCACACTCAGCATAGGACTGTGTCCCTGCTCTACGCTACCCTCTGGCTGGCCTGGTGGCCTGGGAAAGGTGAGCATTTCAGGGAGGCGTTTGTCAGGTTAAGTTTTTGTGAAACAGTTCAGGGTATGAGCAGGTCAGGGAGGGGCTGAGGAGCTGTGGGGGAGAATGAAGACAAGGATGCTTAGGCAGGCACAAACCCAGAAGTCGGGCACTTTGACGCTGGGGCACAGAGCATGGTTTCGAAGCATCAGACTTCTACCAAGGTAGGAGCTATATGACTGAGATGCTCATCAAGTTCCAGCTCAGACCCACATTAATCTAACATAAAAGAGACTGAGTAATTTCTAGGCAAGTCATCTTACAAAGGGGTAGTTATCCCATGGGATAAGTTCTCCTAAGCACTTAGGATGTTTACATTGAAGTCTTTTTATGTTTGTGTTATGAGTAGGTTCATTTGTTACCCAGCAATATTCATTCTGCTGAAATTCAGGTCAACAAACATTTTTTGTGAAGGACTGGACAGTAAATAAGTTAGATGTTGTGCCTGTTACAAATAGGCCATTCCCCTGGCATGGAAAATGCAGAAACAAATGATTTGTTTGCATCCCTTTATTATGTATTTTATATTTATTAATTTTGGCTGTGTTGGGGTGATCTTGAATCACAATCCTGTTAGGTATGCCTCCCGTACACCTGAGCTTACAGGTCTACACTACCACACCTTCCTTATTTACTGTGATGGAGGTCTTTCTAACTTTTTGCTGAGATTGGCCTGGAAGTGTGATGCTCCAGATCTTTGCCTCACCAGCAGCCAGAATTATAAGCAAGAGCTACCACACTAAATGGTAAAAAGTTTAATACATATCCTAGAATTAAGGGAAGGGGTGAGTTGAGAGGAGTGGGTGAGAATGTTAAAAAGGCTGACATTGATCAATAGGCATAAACTCCTCTGTATAACTACTTAAAGATAATTTTAAAAAATTAAAAATAAAAACAGCTGGGACCCATAGGTAATCTTAGATGTTGAGGAGGGCGGGGCTGAGAATAGGAAAATCATGGTTTGAGGCTAGCTGGGGAGAAAAAATAATTACGAGATCGTTTATGAATCCTGGCCAAGCACATGACACTCTGTGAGAGATAGGCGATGGAGAAGATTGAAGTTTCAGACCAGGTTGGGCAGAAAAGTCCTTGAGAGTTTATGTATGTGGATGCAATGGTGGGCACTTGTAATCCCAGCAATGATGGTCATCTTAAAATTAGTAGATCATGGTGTGATCTACTGTGTGTGAGAAAATCCAGGGAGGCAAGATTAAAGGTAACAAAGGAGTTTTATTAGTTGGTGATGCAACTGTTCTTTCCTAAGCTACCTCAGAATTAGGAACAACCACAACCTCCAAGGGACTTTTTTTTTCTTTTTTCCTCCTTTCCCTCCTTCCCACAGCTCTCTGCAGGCCTCTCTACCGGCCTCACCGCCTCAGGGCCTCTCTGCTCCTCTACTGCCCCACCCCCTGCCAGCAGGCGGGGGAGGAGGTGAAACTCGGAGGTGATGTCACGCGGGGGCGGAACCGCCCACCTACTGGTTCTCACTACAGCTCCAGTGCTTATCTAGATAGAAAATGGGACCCAATGTTCAAAAATGACTAGTGCAAAAGTGGGCTAGATCTGTGGTCAAGTGGTAGAGCATCTGCCTCCTAAATTCCTGTGTTCAACTCCAGTACTTCCAAGAAAAAAAAAAGAAAAACCCAATCCAAGCCAAACCACCACCACAGCCATCACCACCACCACCAACAAAAATGGAAAATACACACTCAGGTCATATTCTGCTCAAAGCGGCTGATGGCTCTCAGGCTGTGTGGGCTGCAAAGTAGACTCATTGAAGGTAGAAAACTAGAAGACAGCCATATGGCAGCAACTTTGTGGCAGATATTTGGCTGGTAGGTTTCAGGTGTAAGTTTCAGTGAGATTCAGTTCAGTCAGTGTTTGTGTACATAGGGTGTTGCCTGAGGTGAGGTCTGTGCTGAGGCTGTGCATCTTCACACCAGTGAGTATATGACAGTTCACCCATCAGATCCCTTGAAACTGTGAAATCTGATGTTCCCCTGGTATAGCTAGTTGTGCTGAGGGCAGGGAGGGCAAGAGAATGGCCTAGAGCACCCAGAGTTACTGGAGAGGTTGGGGGCATATCCGCAGCCAGGAAGGCAGTGGTAACCTCTCAAGTTCACAGCAGCACCGTGTGTCTAAGAATTCCAAGAAGGGCTGGGAAGGTAGCTCAGTGGTAGAGTGCTTGCCTCGCATGTGTGAGGCCCTGGGTTCGATTCCTGAGCACCAATAAGCAGGAAAAAAAAAGCCAGAAGTGGCACTGTGGCTCAAGTAGTAGAGCTCTAGCCTTGAGCTGAAGAGCTGAGAGACAGCTCCCAGGCCCAGAGTTCATGAGTGACCCTCCCCCCAAAAAAGAATTCCAAGTAAGATGTATGTAAAAAGAACCACTCTCTGAGGAAAATAAAAACTTCTCAAGTATCACAGGCTTAGCAACCAAGACGCCAGTCAGAATGGCCCAGCCCTCTGCCCTGTTTTCCATGCACTTCATGTGTCATTGTTGTGGTCATCCCTTGAGACCCAGGGAGCCCACAGAGACGCCCGAAGCAGCCCCAGGGCATGGCAGTTTGTCCACCAAAGCCAGTGATCGCCGAGAGCTCCGGGCCAGCGCCTCCAGTGGAGGCCTGGCTGGCCAGGGTGGAGAATCCAGGGCCAGTGCTAGCCAGTTCACCCTGCTTGGGAATGCTGTGTCCCTCAGAACTCTGAGCAGCATCCAGAAGACCCTGATAGATATTTTTGCCATCCTCTCAGGCAAAAAAGCGGTAGAACACCCTCTCTGCGAGGAGTGTACTGACCATCTTTTGGAGCAACTGGATACTCAGCTCTCGCAGGCGAAGCTGGACTGGCAGGCTTACAGGCGTGCCCTGGAGATGGAGTTGCTAGTGGATCCGGAGGAGAGGAGGGCTCTGAACACCTGGCTTTGGGCAGAGTTGCAGGAGCTCGAGCGGGCGGAGGCCCTGCTGATGGAGGAGCTCGCGGACGCCGAGCAGGCCTGGGCCCAAGCGGCCCACGACTTCCAGGAGTCCCAGGCAGAGACGGCCGAGCTGCACCAGCAGGCCGCGCAGTACCAGAAGGAATACTGGGCCCTGGAGTGGCAACGGCTCGAACTGACGGACCAGCTGAGCAGTGTGGAGAACCAGCTGCTGTACGCCCGGGGCCAGCTGGACAAGCTGAGCACAAGCAGCATCTTCGATTTCACCTTCCAGATCTGGGAGGAGGGCCCCCTGGGCATCATCAATAACTTCAGACTGGGCTACTTGCCCCGCGTCCCCGTGAGCTGGACGGAGATCAACGCTGCCTGGGGACAGGCAGCCTTGCTGCTCCTCGCCCTCGCCAATACCATTGGACTTAAGTTTCGGAGGTACCAACTTGTCGCCGGTGGAAACCATTCCTATCTGAAGTCGTTGACGGGTGACTGTGTCCGCCTGCCCTTGTTCTCCGATGGGAAGCAGAATGTCTTCTTGGAAAACACATTTGATCGCGCCATGCTGGCTTTCCTGGATTGCATGCAACAGTTCAAGGAAGAGGTAGAGAAGGGCAAGGAGGGCCTCTACCTTCCCTACAGCATGCACCCGGAGCTGGGCACGCTAGAGGATGCCAAGGGCAGCGGGGATTGGTACTCGATCCGGACTCATCTCAACACTGTGGAAGAGTGGACACGGGCTCTCAAACTCCTGCTTGCCAATTTAAAGTGGAGTCTTGCTTGGGCCTCAGAAAGGTACAGTCAAAAATAGCTTTTCTGTGTTGTAAAATACTGTGAAATGATCAGATTGCAACACTAAAGAGTGCAGCATGCTTGTGATTCAAAAGAATTTGTACCAAACAGTCATTTAAAAATATTTGAGAGGCCCTGGATTTGTAATCAAGCACCAGAGGCATGCAAGAAAGTATTTTCCAGTGAAGCCGTGGCTCAAGTGGTAGAAAACAAAATAAAAGGTATTTTTCTGGAGCAAGCCAAAAGACTTTGTTTCCTTCCTAAAGCACGTTTGTCTTGCTTGTGCTTCCTCAGTCCTTCAACTCCACCAGAGGGGAAGAATTGACTTGGAGATGAGGGGAGAGGGGATAGTAGGGAGAAAAAAACAGAGGTCCATTTTTAATTTTTTTTTAATTTTATTGTAAAGATCCTGTACAGAGGGTTACAGTTACATGAGTAAGGTATAATGTTTTGATGAGAGAAAAACTGGGGAGCTAGTGAGACATTGAGGGACAGCCAAGGGAGAAGATTCACATTGAGTTTACTACTTGCTTTTTTTTTTTTTTTTTGGTCGGTCATGGGGCCTGAATTGTGGGCCTGGGTGCTGTCCCTGCACTTTTCACCTCAAGGCGAGCACTCTACCACTTGAGTCACAGCGCCACTTCCAGTTTTCTAGTGGTTTATTTGAGATGAGTCTCATGACTTTCCTGCCCTGGGCTGGCTTTGAACCGCGATCCTCAGATCTCAGCCTCCTGAGTACCTAGGATTAAAGGCCACCGGAGCCCGGCTACTGGTTGCTTTTTTATGGCAACATATAGTGGAAGCTCTCTTCAGTCTTGAGAAGCTTCCAATAAATGTATCATTCTATGATTTTTTTTAAAAAAGAATTCCAGGTAGTACTCGCTGTATGTCCCCTGTGTGTTAGGCTATCACATTTCATCCTTTTGGGTCTCAGCAGGCTCAGTAGGTAGCACATGGCTGGGAGGCTTCCTGGCTGGTTTTTCTAGTCCTTGTGTGCCCCTTTGAACTATGGGGCTAGAGCTGACCCCCTAGGAACCTCTAGTTGCTTTTTTTCCCCTCTTCTATTATTGAGATGAGGCTCAAGCTCCTTGGGGGGGGGGGGGGAGGCGGGGAAGAGAATCAAAGCTGTAAATATATTCGCGTCGTATGGAAGGTGAGGGAACAGCGGGAATCACAGTGGGGGGGGGTTTGTCTCGCCGGAGTCCCAGAATGGTGTGTGTGTGGGGGGGGGGGGGGGGAGCGTGTGTCGGGTAGGAGCCGCCCCCTGCCGTGGGTGTGGCGTAGCACAGTTTATGCTGCATAATGGCAAGGGCAGGCTCGTCGCTGCCAACCTGCCACTTGGGAGAGAGCAATGCGCTTTCCCTTTGTCCTGAAAAGCTGCTAGCGGTTGGGGCTGGTCTTCAGAGCGTTCCCTTCGAGGTTGCAGGGGACCTAGGCTTTCTCCTGGTTCCTAACATGGACTGCAGTTGCAGGAGGGCCTGCAGCTCCTTTATCTGTGGTGGAGCACGTTTTTGAGTGGGTGTTGACACTGTCCCTGTTGAGCCTGCTGAGCCTGCCCCATCCTCCCCGGCCCCTTAGCGTGCCTGCCGCCGGAGCCTGGGCTTGCCTCCATCCACATGGGCAGCTCTTCGCCACAGCAGCCACCCCAGAAAAATGGTCCTTTTCTTTAGTGTCTACACATGGTTTCCCTATAGCTTTCTGCACCGATCGGCGAGCGGGGCGGAGGCTGGAGAAGCCCGTGGAGAGAATGGGGACCCAAGGGGAAAAGCCCGGTCCAAGGTCACACGGCTGGCAGCTGGCCTGTGCGCCGCCTGGGGTTCCCGCTCCTGAATAATCGCTTGATGGTGTCGCTTCCCGCCCCCTGGCGACGCACTGCTCTGGGCCAAACTGGGAGGATTCGGGTAGGAAGGGGTCTGTGGGCGGCAAGCAGACGCGTCACCCAACCGTCACTGCCCAAGCCACTGGGAGTCGACCGGCCCCACCCCGCCCTTTTCCCTGGGCCCGCCCTTTAGACTGCAGTCTTGCCCCGCCCCGCGAAGTCCCCGCCCTATGGCCCCCAGTTGCTGACTCTCTAGCACCACGCTGCCTTCACCCTCCCAGGGCGATACCACACGCGTGCCAGCTGTGGGCGGGGCCCTGCGGTGGGGACAAAGCTCCTCCTCCTCTGCTGCTCCTCCTCATCCTCCCCCTCCAAGCCTCCAGCGCGAACTGTGCTCCTCTGGGGCCCCTCCACCGCTTCCCAACCATGGTGGCCTGGCGGTCGGCGTTCCTTATCTGCCTCGCGTTCTCCTTGACCACCCTGGTCCAGAGAGGTAAGGCAAGCCGGTGGGGGGAAGGGGGAGGCACCCAGGGAACTCGCCTAGTGGGCCTAGGGGGGTCGCTCTGCGCATGAGCACTCCACCCTCAGCCTCCAGGGCCTGTGGCGGTGGCTGTGCCGGTCAGCAGTCCGACCTGTTTGTTTGGAACCCAGGGCCACGATCCAGGCCAAGCTTGCCAAATCGGCTGAGGTCCGTGTCAGCTGAACACGAGGATGGGACCCTTCTTGGTGCTGGGCTAGACATATCCGGATGGCAATTCTCTAAAATCCCGAACAAGCAATTGCCACCACTGGTGACAACAGCTGTCCCCAGGACTTTACCTTAGGGAAAACCGTGCAAAAAGCAGTCACTTTCAAATTTTGTTCTAAGGCCACCCTCAGCTAAAGCACCTGGACGGCTTCCTGTGTCCTGCTGACTGTCCATCTCGCAGCTTGCGTAGGGTGAGGGTGGGGTAGAGTTGGCTCTAAGGGATTCACTAAGGGTCTCTTGGCTTGCGCCCAGTTTTCAAGCCTTTGGCCATGTGTGTCAAGGACATGGAGGATGTAGACGGGGAGAGAAATTTCACTGAATCAGGGGAACAAGTTGTTATTTTACACCTGTGCGGCTAAAAGTGTGATCCAAGGCCCAGCCGCATTGGCATCTTCAGGGGCATCTTCAGAACCTACTTAGAAATGCAGCATCTTGTGCCCCGCCCGTGACCCACTGAGTCACACTCAGTATTTTCTTTATCGTTTTAACGATCAGATCTCAGGTAATTCACAGGTACATCTCACTTTGAAAAGCATCTCCTTAGAATAAATGCACTCTGTAGTTAAAAATAGGGCCTTAAGGGGCTGGGAAGGTGGCTTAGTGGTAGAGTGCTTGCCTCGCATGCATGAAGCCCTGGGTTCGATTCCTCAGTACCACATACACAGAAAAAGCCGGAAGTGGCACTGTGGCTCAAGTGTTTAAGTGCTAGCCTTAAGCCAAAGCAGCTCGGGGACAGTGCCCAGGCCCTGAGTTCAAGCCCCAGGACTGGGGACGGGGGTGGGGTAAAAAAAAAAAAGGGCCTTAAGCAAGTACCAGCAGAATATTTTTACAGTTGTTTATATCTGATCTCCATCTCAGGAAAGGGATTTAAGGAAAACATTGGCATTTACCAGGGAATAGGCTTTGAGTTTCCTGACAAAGAAAGCAAATCCAGCCAGTGAAAGACATGACCTCAGGAAAAAAAAACAAAAAAAAACCCGAAAAATAAACAAACAAAAAAACGAGAACTCTATCCTAGTTCTTACTAAAATTTATTTCATATACAAGGAACACAGTGAGAGTTGTCCAGTACAAGTCAAGATAGTTGCACAAAAGAGGCAGAAGTGCTTTTCATGTGGACAGTTTGTCTGGAGTTGCTGTAGGAAGAGCCTTTCACCATTCTGCTGACATGTCAGCTGTGTTCTTGGAAGTGATGAGGCCAAAGTCCACAACACAAAGATTGTCTTTGTAAACTGACCTCTTAGCAGACAGAGAAACAAGCACAAATGTCCACTCGACATATTGCTGCTATGAGTACAGGAAAACAAGTTATAGTATAGACATGTGAATTCTTAAATATTTTTTCATTTCCCCTTTGGGGCTAATTTTTTATTCTATCTAATATACACTTGTGGGGAAAAGTATAAATCAGTACTCACTTATCCTTGGGGGTGGTGGTGGGGAAATGTTCCAAGATGTCCACAGAATGCCTGAAACCACAAATATTTGTTATTCAATGCTAAAGATGGAATCCAGGGCCTTTGTGCATGAAAGAGAAGTTGTCTGCCACTGAGTGACACTCCTCCCCTCATCCAGAAAGCACATAGTACTGAACCCTATACATACTATGTCTGGGAGTTTCTTGTTTTGTTTTCTCTGTACCTTCACAGTTGATCTGATAACTGAAGTAGTTACAGTGACCAAGGCACGGGTAGCATATGTTGTCTGGGTGGTATGAAATACGTGACATAGTATTTGATCATTTTACTCAAAAGGGCAGACCTAAATTGCCTGTTCCTGCAATTTTCTATGTAAAAATTTCATCCTATAGTTGACTCTAGGAAATAGAGAAAGTGAAAAACCACAGATTAGGGAAGGGGGACGAAGGTAGACTTTTGTAAGCATCTGATTGGATTCTCTCTAATGATACAGAAATATTAAAAGTAGAATATGAATGATCAAGTCTGAGATTTTCAGCTTTTTTCTAGTTACACCTAGTTGAGATATTAGAGGAGATGGAGAACCAGTGCAACCATTTTTTAGATGTGAGAGAAGAGGTGAAATATAGCTGAAATGTAACTTATCTCAAGTCACACAGTGACTAATTGGCAGTTACTGTTGGATTTCAGGCTGGTGACCATCTTTAAATATGAGATATTCCCAATGCCTTTATGACTACAGGCTATTCCGCTTCTCCAACTTAGTAGCTTTGGGGAAATAAACCTGTTTGTTTAGGTCAGATAATGCCCCACAATTCACAAAGGAATCTTGAAGGGCATGTGTCACTCTTAAGTCTGAAGCCTTACTACCAGCTACTACCTCCTGAGTGCTTGCTGTGTTCTGACAAGTTTTCAAGATAAGTATTATTCTTGCCTTCCAAATGAGTGACAGGACCCAGGTCACCTAGCTCGGAAGAAATAGAACTAGTATTCAACACAAGTAAGACTGCCACCCAGTGATCTTTTTCTTTCCT